CATAATTCTTCTCCAAAGTTTTCAGTGACTTATGTGTTCAAGTTGCTCACGTTATGTAACTAAGCAGCTGTGTAATTGGCAGCACATTCATCACTACTATAGCTTTTTTGGGAAATGGTAAATAAAAGAAGTAGCTAGCATCAATATTTGCTTGCTATTTTGTGATATAAATAGAGAAAGCAAGGCACAACTGATTACTTAAACACCCATTTCCACAGGTGCAATACCAGTGGCTCGGCTAATTGCCCCAAAGTCTGTGAGACAGGAAAGTTGGGGGGTAAAACTCGTCTTTATCTGGCTGCAAGTTATTTCAATTTATAATATAAATTAAACATCTTGAAAAAAATCTAATCATATAGGTTGAAAGAGGTCCTGCCATTCACATCATATAACCCTCCCATATGTAGACCAATGTTTTAGAGCAATAAATAATTAAAAAGTGCATGAATGGGTTAAGCTTTAGTTAGGCTTAATTTGCAATCAATCAAATTTAGCTTTTTTCATGACCTTTTCATACTAGTCTATAACTGCTCTCTTACTAGGGACAAATAGATTTGCATACAAGCTGTTTAGGCTTAGTAGTAAAATAAGAAGTGTTGTACAAACCTGTCAGAACCCATGAGACTTGTACTACAGCACATTTTTGCCACTGGGCTTGGTCAATTTTCTTTTTATTGTAAAAACACACTTGAAAAATAAAACCTAGTGTATATTTCTTTCACTTAACTTAGGTCTGATCCTCCAAGCCCAGTTCTTCAAAATACTACCACTTGAGCTACGAACAGTAGCTACCAGGCTTGTTTTAATTAGAGCCCCAGAGAAGGACTTCGTATATTGATCAATAAGTTAACAGCTATCGGCAGGGTACTGCAGAAGTATAGTAGGACAGCAAAGCTATTAATCTACCCTATATGCAGACATTGAATTTTCTCTGCCATCATGTGTAATCTTTTTGCAAACTGGGGGTAGGAAGAGGCAGGCTGCAGAGCTCCTTACATTCTACAGCAGAATCTTGACTGACAAGGCAAAGGGGACATGGAAATGTTTGTACAGGATCCAGCAGCAGGAAAAATGAAATGCGAACAGCTTCACAGGACTATTGAGGCATGGGCATTTCCATGTTATTACTCTCACAAAGGCAGCATATGCGACTAATGCACAGAAATGCAACTGATGGCAATGCTCCTTCTTTTATTTTTCCATGGTCAAATGCCAGCAGCAGCATTTTCATACTGAATAATGGGTTCCATCTGCTCCTGCACTTGCTTTATCTATATAAAAAGTAACTCAAAATTGGGATGGCTGGCAACACAATTTTTCAGCGGACAAAGCCGAAGGGATGTGCCCAAGGTCCAAGAGCTCTGCCAAGCGGAGGAAGAGATGTAGAAAATTTGAGAAGTTGTTGGGTTTTGTTCTTTGCAAAACAGGAGAGTTGTTTTCCTTGGGGCACAAGCAGAGTGTAATGGGGCACAAGCAGAGACACCCCCTCTCTCTGGTTTTCTTTCAACAAACAGAGAAATCAAGAAACCTTTAAACAGCTGCTGGTCATGGGGCTTTAGCAACTGGGGGTTCGGGGAATAGTAGCACTTGCAGCCACACAGAAGAAATCAAGAGGAAGCAAACTGCGTGTAAACTACATAAAACACAAGCCTTTTGTTACAGCGAACTTGAGTGTTCAATGTGCTTAGCCCAGCACTTCTAATAAGATTCAGCGTGGGAGGCAGAAAGGTGCTTTCACAGCTGTGTAGGTTTCAATCTAGCTTCCTAGTGGGAACCTGGGAAGCCATAACGCTTGCTACCTGATGAAACAGAGAGACAGGGAGAATGTGCTGCTATTCCATTACCTCTAGTTCACGCAGGACAGGGTGGTCCTCTATGCCAGGGAAGAGGACCCTCATGGCATATGTGCGATAGTCAAGGTACGGGATCCCTGAGCGGTCCAGGTCGCTGGTTAACTCGTTGATGTCTGTCTGCAGCTCTGCAAAAGCTATTAGAGAAAGGGAGGGAGGGAGACAAGACAATCAGAAGTGAGCACTGGAAATGCAGGCTGCAGTACAAGCAATCAAGGACTGCAAATGAGCCAGCTCAGGGAAGCTCGTTTACTCTAGACCTCTCTGTGTCACTCAGACATGCCCTCAAGCTGGGAGCCACTTCCCCAGCATGAGAGAGAGGAAGAGAAGCACAATGCAAAGAACAGATGCTGAGAACAAAACAGACTTGCTAATTTATATGCTGTTCACACCTTGTATGTAAGCACTGAAAATGCCTTGAAAGGCACTAGATAAAAATAAAGATCCTATTTTTAAATCACTGTACTGTGCAGCTTCTCTTTCACAGTCACTCACTCACTCTATCCACACCTCACCCAAAATGTTTTTGTTTTTTCGCTGTGGCTAGCACATGGATTCCTTCCCCATGCTCTGCAGCTTAAATGGCATTAGCCAGTGCCCAGGAAGAAAACAATGCTTTCAAGTGGGGGTAGAGAACTGCAGGTGTAAAGGACTGCAACAGGCTTCATGCAATGGGCTTTTGATGTGCATAGGGAAAGAGCACGAAAACTCTAAATGCTGGCGGAAGTGCAACATGTTTCATGGCAGTGTGCATGTACAATATATCCAGTCCTTCCTCCCCTTTTCAAGGAGGAAGGACTGCAGAAACATTCTGCGCATATGGCAGCATCACCTGTCATGCCTCCAACACATTATGTGTTGGCATAGCAGCACTGTGCAAATGCGGATGCTCTCCTAAGACACACACACACAAGAGGCTTGTTCTGGTGAATGTAAACTGGCCCTAAGATGCAAACATAATTGCATACTTATTTGTAAAAAATACCAGTGCTGATTAGGGGGTGTTTCTTTGTCCTCATTAAAATCTGCTATGGTAAAAGACAGCAGACTTCCCTGCTGAACAAGTTAATGTTATTTACATTTCTTCACAAATGAGAACTTTGCTGGTGTGTTGGGTGTCATGTGTCCTCCTTTATAAGGGATAGTTCTGTATTTGAAGGTGTAAAAGATTAAGATATATAAGGAGAATGAGCAGGGACCTTGAAGTTCCTCACCAGGGAGACCCTGGGTCATAGTTTTTACTATGGGGAGATATATCTTATTTCTATATAAATTATAGTAATTTCGCCCCTAAATCTGCATCTAAATATATAAATTAGCACTCTTGTTCTTTTTTTTAGCAATGCAAAATTGATCACCCTACTAGTGTTTCCCTGTCATGTGACAAAGGGATAGCATAACTTTCAGAACTGCAGGGTTCTTTTGCTGGGGGCGGGGGAGAGAATCCTACCTTGTGAAAATTGCATATTAACCTTTGGTGAATAATTTCTTGAGCATTCAGTTCCAATTTGCAGTGAGACAAGAATATACAATAGGAAAACCCTACAATATACCGTGTAGGTGGAATTTTGTTAGGACGGGGTTTAAGGGAACAAGCAATTGTTGCAGAATAACCACGCCAGGTAGTCTAACATATTAATATTTTTAGCTGTATTAAAGAATTAGCGAAATAAAATATATTTGGGGAAAAAATAGATAAGGGCCTGATGCGTGTCATTGTTTCTGCTCACTTGCCACAACACTGGAAGGCAAGAGTAACACTGTTTCTCAGTGATCAATTGGATAAAATACTGCCTGCATTCTGTTCATTATATCACCAAAAGTAAAGACTAACTCCACCACCGCTGCCCTGCCCCATAAAAGTTCCACATTCAGGATGGGACCTAACTAAAACCCTGAGAGGTCTAGATACCCAGAACTTGCCCACCCACAGTTGGCTATTGTCTTCCACTACACTTTGGTCAGTGCAGAATGGCTCAAAACAGCTTGCTCTTGCTTGATGAGATAAGCTTACATTCAAATTAGTTTCTATAACCCTGCTTGGGAGACCACACTGGGGTTGTCTTGCTTGTGGAAACCTGAATGAGAAGCTAGATGACATGGCAAAATATGAAGATGTGGGGTGATTGCAATAATGAGTTTTTAAATCTCCAAGATCTCAGAAATGTTTTAGAAGACCTTGAGGTCCTGTGCAATCCTAAACCATTTCCCTCAGAAGCATTCCCCATTGAGTTCAATGGGACTTATTCCCAGGTAAGTGGGTATAGGATTTCAACCCTATCGACTTATCCGAGAAAATTTACTGGTGCTTAATTTTATAGGACTGACATTTATATGGTAACTGTAAAAATCATTCTATTGCTCACCCATGACTACTGCTGAGAAGAGTTAGTTTTTGATCTGCAACAGCACTGTCTGAAAATAAATGTCTTGATTCTTAATTAGACTTCAGTCTAACAAGAGTGTTCTGCTTCTTTGTCCTTTTAACTTTGAAATGTGTTTCATTTGAAAAAGAAAACATCCCAAACCAACAAATTGCACATCTCAAACCTTTGAGTGCTACATTCCCAGAGTTATATGTACCCTGCTGAGTAACCACAATAAGTCTTCATGCATACATGAATCTGCTGCTCACCTGAAAGTCATAATGAACACTTGTAATGGCTCAAACTTTTTTTTAAAAAGAGTCTCTACAGTGAATGTTTGAAAAAAGTTTGGTTCCCCCCCCCCAAAGCACCTTCCACCAATGTCTCACCTGCTTTGCCCAAGACAGGGTGGCAGAAGAACAGGGAAGTGATGGCACTCACTAGCTTGCCTTTGAACTGTTCACAACCATGGCTCAGAAATGAACTCCTGGGCTCTCAAAAGCTCACTTCAAAGGATAAATGGGCTTTTAGTACCCCCAAAAGCGTTCAAATCCTTTTCTGGCTCAGACCAATAACCAGATCATAGAAGGCCCCCTGCCCTGTCCGCAAAGCAACCTCCCCAACTTTCCAAATGTAATCTCAGAGTCCCTTAAAAGGACTACAAATCCCAAGATGGCACCACTATGGAAGCCCTGTAATAGAATCAAAGAATCATAAAATTTTAGAGTTGGAAGGGATCCTGGGATCATCTAGCCCAATCTCATGCAATGCAGGAATATGCAGCTGTCCCATACAGGGATTGAACCTGCAACTTTGGCGTTATCAGCACCACACTCTAACTGAGCTATCCTGGCTGCACTGGTTTGAGAAGAGGACCCATCTCTCTTGCCATTCAGAACATTACAACATGGAATGTGTTCATCTCTATTTCCCAATGAAAAATATTTAAACAGTATTTAAAAAGCAGTCAAGAGTAAGAAAGTTGTCTTTTTCTTCATCATCATCTTCTTTAAAAAAATCCCTTTCAATGTTTGCTTTGGGGTGAAGCAGGAATACTAGATAGGAAATGATTTTTGTGTGTGTGTGTGCAAAATACAGGAAAGAAACTCCACATCTACTTCCAGACTTTGGCCTTTCCCCCTCCACTGGGTGGCCTGCGCTATTATTCAGTGTTCTGAAGTGTAAAAATGTGTGAATTCACTCGCTAACTGTCAGTCACCGAGGGCTGTAAATTATTTTTCTGCCTGGTTCTAACTCACTCCATGTAACACTTGGATCATTGCAAGGTTTCTGGCTTTCCTAACATCCACATAAAATGCCTTCAGGAAAGGGTCAGCAGACAGCAAGGCCTAATGACCTGGCACCAACAAACTCTGTACATGTTGCTTAAATAGGATCAAGGGCTAATCCTGTTCTCCACACATTAGTCAGGCAATGGATGTCTCTGCATCCAATACACTCGTTACTGTCTTCCCTCGCATACAGACTTCACGGGAGAGCTCTGAGCCTTTCCGTCTGCAAAAGAGGGCATTTTATGAGTGGGTGTGTTTAAGAGAGATTGACCAAATGTTTATTTGACAGCTGTACGTGAGCTTAGGCCCTGTTAAATTCACACCAGATCAAAGGCAACAGGGTAAGCAGGAGGCAGTTACCACGGAAACAAGACTTGGTACTGCTCAGTACTGGAGATGTATTCAGTCAACAGGGAAAAGTTATATTAGGCAAAACAGATGTGCTAAGAAATATGTATGTATATATGAAAATGACAATGTTTTGTGTGAAATGGCTCATCCTAGTGTCTGCAGGGTTCTTCCATCCTGATTTGATGAATGTTTATTTGGAAATAAGCCCCGCAGTGTTCAGTGGACTTTGATCCAAGGTAAGTGTGCGGAGAATGCAGACCTAATGCGTGATTATGGCAGTCTATCATCTATAACAATGTTGTTACAGCCATGATTATGATCCTCAGACACTTACTTTGGAGTAAAGTCTGTATATAGTGCAAGGGTAGGGAAAAGTTAATAATTCTTTTGTCTGAGTCTGTCTAATCCTAACACATAGTGGATTGATAAGATTATGAGTACATTGCTTTGTGTTTCCTTGTGGTATTGTCTCTCTTTCTGTGTTCATCAGTTGAGCAGTCCTTGTTCCAGGAAAGCTCAATTTAAACAAAGTTATGTTGTGGGCTAGTGGAATTTTTAGCACTGTGGCATTATGGGGACAGGTCTTTTCTCTGCCCTGGCCATTTCAGACACTGGTGCTTTGCTGCATTTGTATCCCTTCAAGTGAAGCTTGAATGTCATGTGTATTGGCAAAATGATACCCTTTCCCCAAAGATTTATACAGTTTACACAAGAGAAAGGTTAAATTAGCCTTGGGAGTCAGTAACACCAAGGCAGGAAGTATGCTATGGCAATAACTCTTACCAAGAGGACAAAAGATAATATAAAATTAATGTCCATGGCTTTTTGTCAATGACGTATGTAGCTGATAATGGGAAATAAGTTAAGGTCTGACACTTGCAGCGACTCTCCACTCAGAGTTGCTGCAAGTGTCAGACCTTAACTTATTTCCCATTATCAGCTACATATGTCATTGACAAAAAGCTACTAATATTGTGTCCAGTAAGCCATACTGTGCATGGTTTCATCCGATTCTGTGGGATCAGTTCCAGTGATTGAGACCTGAAGATATAGATAGGATGCTTCTGGTTGTCCATCCCACTGCTTGCCCTTTTGACCCTTGCCCATCCTGGCTTGTTCATACAAGTTTGTGGGGTGCTGACTGGCAGTTCAGCTGCAGGCACTTATGGAGGAAGCAAATTGTTGTGAGGAGAACCTGAGCTTACAGGGTTAAACAGCTCAGAGTGTACGCTCCACCTACTGTTGGGAGGGGGGAGGTTCGTCATTTCCGAGAGCCTCAAGCCTTTGTTCTTTCTCTCTACTTTCGCTTTTGAGGAGAGAGGACGTGTTTTCGCGATGCTGTTCGCTGTGATAGATAATGGATAGTCTGCTGTAAATAAAAGTGCTTTTAGCTGCTAAGATCCTGAGTGGACTTTATTTAAGCACACTGAAGAAGGCACTGGAGTTTATTGCAGTCTTTCTCTTGCCGCTGCTGACGATCTCTGCTATGCTCAGTTGTGTCAGACTTTGGAATGCAGAGGCTTGCACAGGGGAAGTGTGCCGGACCTCAGGCTTATCTGAGCAGTAAATCAATCGCCTGACAATTGTCTGGACCCATTCTAGTCTGGGTTCAGGCCTGGGTCTGGCACAGAATCATCCTGGTGGTTGTAACAGATGACCTCCTTCAAGGGACAGGTAGGGGAGTGCAACCCTACTGCTACTATTGGATCTCACTAGCTTTTGATACCATCAGCCCATGGTATCTTCATGGACCATCTCTGGGGGTAGGGAGCCAGAGGCACCATTTACAGTGATTCTGCTCCTATCTGTATGGTTCTGCTCCTATCAATGCAGAAACTAGCATTGATGGACTACATATTGTGCACTGCTTTCCCCCAATGCTATTTAACATCTATATGAAGTCATTGGGAGGATATATGGGGCACTATGAAACTCAGCTCTACTTTTCTATTAAATATGGGTCAGGAGAAACCATGCATAAGCTGAACTAGCACCTGCAAGTACTGGTGGAATGGATAAGGAAAAGTAGACTGAAGATGGAACATGCTAAGAAGGAGCATTGTGGGTAAGTTGTTCCCAGGTCTGAGGACTGGGGAGTCTGGCTGTTCTAGATGGGACTGCACTCCCTCTGAAAGAACAGAAAGAACACAGTTTAGGGGTTCTCTTGGAACCATATTTGTCCATGGACTCCCAGGTATCCTCTGTGGCAAAGAATGCCCATCCACAGCCACAGCTGGTGCATCAACTGAGCCATTTTTGGATTTCAGTTATTTGGCCCCATGACATGTGTTAATAAAGCAAGTTTTAAGACTCTGCACATACAAAGCCAGAAATCATTCTGAACCAGGTTACCTGGGAAATTGTTTTCCCCTTCATTGCTCAGTAAGGACAATTAAGATTAGCAAATGGAACCCAGTTACAGTAGTTTTGCCATAGGCTGGTGATTATCGGCTTGTGGTAACATGTCTCAGTTCTTGGTTCCTATGTTCTACCTGGTTTTCTGTCCAGCCAAGACAGGCTCAAGCTGCTGCTGGCCAGGCAAGTTGATATCATCAGTTTGAGACCATGAAACAGATGCCTTAGTCATTTGTTAATGGACTTCACATATTAGCAATAACCTGAGGAGAAGGAATCTAGATCAAGAATATACAGCTTTCCACCGTCTTCTGGAACTGATCTCCATGATGCACTTTCCTTCATTCACAAATTATGCCACTGTCAGTGCAACAAGGGAAACTCATTTTCACTGATAAGGAATTTCTCTGGATCCCTCTGATGCCTCTGTCAAATTGTGCTAGGCAGTGCTGCGAATATACTTTTTGTGAAAGACACATGCACAACCCCTTGCTTAAGTAGACCTTTTCTCATGTGTCATTAGACATTACCAGATTAGTGGAGGAGAAAACCTGGGGTAGTACTACTGACCTTCTTTGCATTCGAGGGCCACCCGAGACTCTAGGTTGTCCATCTGCATCTGTAGCCTCTTGAGGGTAAGGTCGTTTTCACGAGATTTGCGCTTGTAGGCAATGAGGACAATAATGACAATGATGAGAAGAAGGCTGCCTCCTGCTGCAATGCTGACAATAGCTGGCAAGGTCAGGAGGCTGTCCGAGATCACATTCACTGAGCCAGGGGAGAAGACGATGCCACCTACATGCACCTAGTCAAGCAAAAGACATTGGACATAGTCATCAAACTTTATTGCAGTGCTCTCAAGTAGAGTGGTCTAGGGTGAAGATACCTACTTAGGAAGGAGGCCATGCCAACTGTTGTGCAAAGCATCAAACAGCTTCAACAACCTGCTTCTGAGGAAGACCTCAGGGCTGACCTTGCCTGTCCCACCACCTTCACTCCTGGCAGAGAAGCAGTGCCTGCATTGGTGCCAATTTCAGGAGAGAGCTCACCAAAATCACATAGGAACTTGTGGACCATGCAACATCTTACTTGAAATCAGTGGTGATGCCAGCACAACTTCTCTGCTGGTGGTTCAGGCAGCAGCAGCAGTGGCAGGACGGCACCTCCCATTTCACCTTGAGCATCAAAACAGGGTGGGCCACCCCCAGAAAGACCCTGAGAATTTCTATTACAGGCTCTAAATGTGTCTCTCTGCTTATCTGCATAGGAGCTGATCTACGGAAAGAAACTTCTGTTTTTGCTCCAGTAGTCAGCTTCGCAGGATTTTTCTTTAGAAATGTGTGTCATCAAGGACTAGTACCTGACAGTGGTCCCCTGCCCATGTCAGACCTGCTCTGGGAATAATTCCCAAAGAGCCAACTATGCCTTCAGAGGGCACACAGTCTAAAGTTTGGTCTGCCAAATCACAGACACCGCTTGCATGGTCTTGTCTATCTACACAGAGAAAGGGCACAGCCTACTTGAAACACAGAAAAGGCTTCAAGTTGCGATAAATGCGTCATCCCGGCACTATCTCTGGCTTTGTTCTGATTATCTGATGGCTTCATTTGACTTTCATTTCACAAGCTTTCAGCTTCCTTTTCTAAACCATGGACATTAGAGGCAGAATGACAATTTCATTGACCAAGAAGTTTAAAGAGGAAGTAGGAAAGAAGAGAGGAAAAACAAAAGAGATGGAATGGTGGGGGCCTGGGGTAAACCATGGGATTGTGGCAGAATAAACAGATAGACAGTTAAGGATGGACTAAGTTTTGCAGAACATGCCATGGCCTCTGATAAGTGCAGATACTAATGGG